ACAACTGTCTGAAAATATCCTACCTTGTCCTGTCTGCTTGCTGATTACAAAAGAATAAGTTTAGAAGCATTTGACCCAATAGAACAGAACAGCCTTAATGGTTGCTTAAACAAGAAGTCTCTCAGGCATACATTAAGGTCATATATAAATGCTGATTAAATGGGTCAGGAAAACCTGGGTTCAAGTCCCACTTCTGTCATATACTGGCACTATATATGGGCAAGTCATTTAATCGCTCAAAGTATTAGGCAGCTCTCTGAGACCATAAGACCATGAATAGGTGCCAATCTATAGCGGTAAAGGAAATTTCCACATTAATATAACAATGAAATTAGAGGTCCAGTCCACAAGAAAAGAAGGTTAGGCTCTAGAGATGCAAAGATGGCCAGATCTATAATGGCAGACCTAACCATCTACATGGGAAAACTAACAAATAGTAGATGATCTTTTTTTGTTCATATATATATTTTGGGACGTTCACACATGTTGAATGAGTTCATACTCAAAAGAGAAGGTTGTTTTTTTTAAAGGGGTTACAAGCTGACGTTAAAGCAATCTGTAAGTAAGTTCCTTCTGAAACAGAGGCTGGATTTCAGGGATGTTACAGAAAAGACTTTTCCATTAGGCAGTAAGTCAGACTGTCTAACATGAGACACTTTCCCCGCTTTCCCCACTTCTTCCACTGGACTCTCCAGGCATTGTTTGAAGAAAGGGAAGGGTGTGGGACTAAACGGTAACCACAAAGAAGACAAACCACTTACCAATGGTGAAAAAAGCACCCTCAAAAACGTACCGTTGGAGAGAAGTTAAGCACAGCTGAACCCAGAACCCACAATATTTCTCTTGCCCGGAACCAGAAAGATCTTAGTGTCTATTTTCTCACCTCAGATATTCAAAAAAATCTGCAATCTCATCAATTTGGGAGTCCACTCCAACGAGGCAAAGAGCAACCTATTCCCACCTGCCTCTCTCAACTCTTGTTCATGTGCTTCCCACAGAGTTTGACCCAGTAAGTCCACCCAAAGAGCAGAAGCCCTTCCTCAACTCCCCCACTCCCATCCCCACATCACAAAGGTAGCAGTGATGCCGTCTGGCTGTCCACCTGGCATCCCTCACTCCTGCCATGAAGTCAGTCCACCTTATCTCCCTATCTTACAATTCCCTCTCCTGTTCTAGTTTCTAGACAATGGAAACAAAATGACTAGTTCTCTTCTTTTGGTCCAAGGAGTAAAGACTAATAGAATTGCCCGCAATATATTACAGTGCAGTATAAGGTAGATAATTGATCAACATAATTACTTTTCCCCTCTCCATTTTTTTCCTAACCACGCCATTCTCCTCTACTAACTTGATCCATCTGGATGCAAATTTAGCACTAAAAATAGAAGGACTTATCCAAAGTTACAAAATGCAAGAGGAAAAAGCCAAACCCAGCTCAGTGCCCTTTCTATCATGTCATAACGTAAAACTGAAAGGATTTCAACGGAAAGGTGATTGTCCTTGACTTTGTAATCCTTAGAATGAACACAAAATGATAATTCCAGAATGGATATACATTCAAGAGTGGCACCTTCCACTTAAATATCTTTCTAAAGCATTTAAAAAATTTTACCTTTTTCATCACACACACAGAGTTTTCTATTCCTAGCAGTGGAATTTTCCTCCAGAAACTGTATCACTCTTCTCCACATGGAGAGAGTAAAATTAACACAAATTTGGGCCCCTTTCCCAAGCCCTACCTCCACTTAAGATACAAGAAGGATGAATATAATATTCTAAGATACTCTTGAGAATCCAGTAAATAACTTTATAACTTGCTTTCTTCTCTGGATGGACCAACACTCTCCTGAAGCCTTGTAGTCTTGAGTCTGATAAGTTTGACAGAACTTATCAGAATAAACAGGACAATATTGGTTAGTAGAAAGAGTACTAGTCTTGGAGTCAGAAGGTCGAGTTTTGAATGCTGGCTCTGTTATTATGACACCTAGGTGATCTTGGGCAAGTCACTTAAACTCTTTGTCTGTACCTCAGTTTCCTCACTTGTAAAATGAACCAGTTCAGACCACCTTTAAATCCCCCATGATCCTCAAAGTCAAAAGAGAACAGCATTTAAACTAGAAACCCTGACGTCAACCAGAACAGATGTCTAAGTTCAGCACGTGAAATTTAGCCACAATTCACATTTCTATCACGGCGCTATGAAAATACACAAAAAGCTTTCCCAACAACCACCCATGATGTAAAGATCACTTGGTAAAATCTTAATGCAACATATTATGGCTAGTACCTTACACAATCAATGCACCCTCGTGATCATTTTGGCTCTCTAAGGTGTTGTTTACAACAGCTATCCCTTCTTATTTTCTCCTTTTACTGCTCTCTCTTTACTCTAGCTTCTTAAGCTACATAACTCCTCCTATCAAATCCTACACATAAAAAGGGACTTGGTCAGAAATCTCTGAGGATAAGTCCAGGGGTTATAGGCAAGCGGCTAGTGGAAGACAAAAGCAGCTTTCATCTCCTTCTTGCTGAACTGCATCTTGGGGGGAAAGAACTAGATTCTTACAAGATAAAGGGACCCAGAGTTGCCAGTGACAACTGCAAATGGAATGTCTTTTGCTTCCTAGCCCCTTCCTAATATGTGAGGAAACTACAAAAATATACAGGGCAGGCAGAAGGAGGAAAAAAAAAAACCACACAGACAAATATAGGATACTTGGAGATATCTGTCACAGAATTCTACAATTCCCTCTTCTTTAATAGAAGGGGACACAGGGAGTCTCATTCTGAGTGACTATTGAAAGACACTGCCATGACCTGCTAAAAGAGGTGAGAGAAGAAAATAGATTTCCCGGACCCGCTCCAGGATATTCATTCAATTCAACACATTTTCTCTTGGTCTATAATTGGGACATTCTAAGCTTTTGTGGGTCTTGTAAGTACTCAGGAAGGGGAGAAGGTGCTAGGAAGCATTGGCAAGGGTGGAAATGAGAGGCGCCACAGAGAGTTTTAATTACCTAAAAAACAACTCCCCACAAGCCGTGGCAACTTTTGAAGACACAGTGAACACAGTGATTCTTCTCAGAACTGAATCTTTGAATTGGCTTCCATCCCATTCAAGAGCCAGAGGGCAAAGCCATGCAAATAATCACAAGGAGAACTGATAGATCTGACCTAGATCAAACATCTGGTCAAACTAATACACCATCAACACTGGTCAGGCTAAGAAACACCATGTGAGGAGGACCTTATTTAAAAACTCCAACATTAACCATTCTGAATGCCATGCTCAGAATAAACAAAGTTATCTACAATTAAATATTAAAAAGAACCATCACTTAGAACCTGCTTCAAGGCAAGAAGAATCAAATGCTCTTGGACCTTAGGGAGACTTTCTGGCCCTATCACTCTCCATCAAACAAACAAACCCCCCCACATTACTAGAAAGACTTCTTACATTTTACAAAAAGCAGTGACTTTTCTTCTTCATCTTTAATCATAACACATTTAAGGAATGTGTAAGACAGTCTTAAGTGCAAATGTTAGTTTGACATGCTGAGTAGAAAAAGCAGGCTGATAATTATGTGACATTAGTGGCAAGGTGTCACACTACAAAGCATGGAAAAGAAAGGCATATCAAAATCTGCAAGCATACTCAGGAACAGACTCCAATCTTCCTTCAGTTTCAAGGACTCTCTAGAACTGGGAAAGGTTGGCAAAATATGTAAAGAAGCCAGCAGGCTACACGTGTTGCCTGGCCAAGGGGCAGAGCCTTTCAAGAGCAGCAAGTATAAATAATAAGCAATAATAAATAAATAAGACAATCTCTGGTACAAGTATGACTACTATGAGAGAAGTCCCCTCGATAGTTGAGGATCTCCATGCTGAAAAATCTAGAGGAAGCTGAAATAAACTCAACACATGGGATTTCTTGAAAGAATTAACAGTTGCCAAGGAAAGCGTCCTAAGGAATTGGAATGCTGTCAAGATTAACTTAAGAAGATGGAATGGTGTGGCTTAAGGAAGGAATCTTCAGTTTGAGGAATACACCAAGTTTCTCAATACAGGGTCTGAGAATCCACAAGTGGTTTGGTCTCTTCCCTTTGCTTTATCGGTGGCACGTGGCACACTAGTAAGATGTCTTTCACATAAAGCTCTTGTGACTGATTCAGACAACCTGGTTTCACACCCAGGAATTGTCCGATTCTTTCCCCATGTCTTCTTTCTTATATTAACAAGTCTAAAACCACAAACATTTGGTCTAATCATGCCAAGAAAATCAGGTCACTTCTCTTTAAATGTCTGTTCTGAGCATGTAGATGAGTAAAATGCATACCAGAGAACAGAACCTCAAAGCAGGGGAGGGGAAACGTCTAGTGGTTAAGCCTGACACGTGAGGGGAAGTTGGATGGTTTTATAGAGGCTGCTAAGTTGTACATAGGCTGTTCCAAATTGGATTAGGATAGCAGGCGGGGGGAGGGGAGAGAAGGGGGAAAAGTAAAGGAGGGAAAAGGAAAGATGGGGAAAAGAGAAGGAAATGGGAAGAGGAAAAAGGGAGAAAGGAAAGAGGTGATGGGGGAGAGGAAAGAGAAAGGAAGAAAAAAGAGGAAAGGAAAAGAGAGAGAAATGGAAGAAAAAAGGAAAAGTGAAAGAGAAAAAAGGAAGGGAGAGGTAAGAAAGAAATGGGGGAAGAGGGAGAAGGGAGGGGAAAAGGGGAAAGGGAAGAATAAAGGAAGGAGAAGGTAGAAAAATGGAGGGAGGGAGAAGAGAGAAAAGGAAAAGAGACAAAGGGAGGTTATGGAGGAAAGGGAAGAAGGAAGAGAAGGAATGGGAAGCAAAAGGAGGTCAAAGAAATGGATGAAGGTAAAAGGAAAAGAGGGGTGAATGAGGACCGATGTGTGGAGGACAGGTAGGGAGAGACTTTGCAGATTTTGACTACATGGAAACTACAATTGAAACATTAAGTTATTGGACCTCAGAAAGAGAAGACAACTACTCACCTATCTATGGCTTCCACATCAAAGCAAAACCTCTTTTCAATTGAGTCTGTTTTCCGTCGTGTGCATGATTTGAGAATGACTGATTCATCTTCTCCCTAATGAGAAACATAAGGAACATGAAATGAGATGGAGATCTTGGGCCCACCTCTCATCTTCTCTAAAATAAACACTACACAGAAACCTAAACACTCTTTTGATCTTAATTTGCAAATACATTCATGCAAACATTAGTAAATGAATGATCAAAAGATCTTCTGTGGAAGTGACTATGTCTAATTAAAATTCAAGTCAAAGGTACCTCCTTTGGAACCTTAATTATGGGCTGGAATGATAGAGAATGATGGAGGCTTAGAGCTAGAAGGAATCTAAAAGGTCAACTAGTCCAACCCCCTCAACTAACAAATTGATTAACACTAGAAAAGTTAAGTGATATGCCCTTCAGTAATAAATGGCAGAGGTGGGATTTGAACCCAGGTCCTTCGGCTCCAAATCCAACACTCTTTCCACTGTACCTTGCTGCCTCTCAATGAAATGACAGGGAATAATTTTTCACTGGGAATTTAATATCAAGAGGATACTGGAAAGGCCACAGTGCAGTGGGTCTGACATCAAAGGACCTGGGTTCAAGTCTCAGCTTTTCTACTCAATGAGTTTAGGCAAGGCACCAAACCAATCTGGCCTCAGTTTCTTCAGCTGTAAAATGTAGAGTTTAAACAGGATAATTTCGGGTCCCTTCTAGCTCGATATTTATGAAATTGTATGTTAGTTCTAGCACCCAGAAATTCTAGATCTCACTGCAGTTTATAAATATTGATTTGCTAACTTTCATTATGACCTTGAGTGGTAAAAAAGAATAAGCTTTCATTTTTAAAAACTAAAAACCAAAAGAGTCAGATCAATCAATCAATCAACACTTATTATTAAGCACCTACTCTGTGCTATGCACTAGAAACAAACAACCCCAGTGTCATCTTCTTATTCTATCCATTTTATCCAAGTCGCTTTGACCACAAATGAAAACCATTATACGTTATACGAGTCACACAATGCCCATGTGTTAAGAAATGGTCACTGCACCAGAGAAGGAGTCCTGTACATATGGAAATAAATGCTGAAAATCAATTTTATAATGGATTGACAGAGAATGTATGTAGCACAGATAACAGCAAAGAAAGGAAAAATTGGACAGACAGCTTTCAGGGACAGAGTAGGGTTGGGTGTCAAAACAGGAAAGAAAAAAAACCACACACTTGCCTAACTTGCTGATAGAACATAAAAAGTCTTGACAAACTATACTCAAGGTAAGATAAAATTTAAAAACCTATTTCTTGATACCTTGTGGAAGGATCATCACTCAAAGAGAAGGGTCAGGAAAAAGGCAGCTCAAAAGACAGCTCCTATCTGCAAACCTTCTTTTCTCTTGATCTCTTTTGATTTTTGCTTTTTTTATGACCTGATATTAATTCTTCGATTGAATTTATGAACATGGAATTAGGTAAAGCTCAAACCCAATCTTTTCCTCCCAAAGGTTTTTAATGAGTCCTTAGCAATTCTTCAAATGGCTCTGAAAATACCTCCTCCTCCCACAGAGAGTTTCCTGGGTTCTAAAGGAAAAGATTTAGTAAGTGAGCTGAATGTCTGAGCAGGTTGCAGCTCAATGGACAAGGAACAGTTCCCACTTTCCAGGCTCATTTGGTACATTCCTGTGAAATGGAAGAAAATAGGAGAACTAAAAATGGCACATAATGTGGGTGGAGGACGGGAGCTAAGGATGAACGCACCAAATCAGGGGAGTGCCATAGAGGTGATCTGTTCAACTACTGAGAGCTAAAAAAGACTGGCAGAGTCAGAAGAAATTGACATTTTAAGAAATTCTTAGCTAAGAAATGGAGAGAAGATCAATGAAAGAGACAGACATTTTCTTCTGCCATAAATGGATGATAAATGAGGAAAAGTACATAACGATAAACAGAGGGCTGGGATAAGCAGAGATGTAGAAAAAAGCAAGAATTCCAAAGGAAATAGGCCATAAATGGCTCCTCAACATACTCTTTCATTAAACCAGTTTATCACTGAGGGGCTCACAAGAACCATTACATAAAATATACACTGTTACTGGCTTTCCTCTCTGTGGGGGAATTATACTATATATCAGATGGACTAATGGGGGTTGCCCATTAGATCCCAAGGAAAAATAAATCAACAAACAGAACTGTACATGGATTCACTTCTCATAGATTTTATTTCATCCCTCCAAATCCCAGTCTCGTTTGGCTCACATATTATTCAGACCCTATGTTTTGGCCTCTTTAAGCTGCCTTAAAAGCAGTCGCCAAAACTGTCTACTTTCAGAGGACATCTAGCCTCATCATCCTCTTCTCAAAAGCCTATCCTCTCATGTACCCTGAATCTGCCTGACCTTCACATACTGGTGGTCTCTTTACCAGCTGATCCCATAAGAGCTCATGACTATTACTAACTTAACTGCCCCATGGTGTACTCCAATTGCTCCAACTAGGCAAGCTTCCTTCTCACCCTCTTGTTTTGCACAATCTGTAACTCAAACTTTATGCAAGGTCTATCCTTCTAAATGGTTTGTCTAAGCAGATAGGTAGTACAGTGGAAGAGTGTAGAGCCTGGAGTCAGGAAGACCTAAGTTCAAATGCAGCCTCAGACACATACTAGTTGTGTGACCCTGGGTAAGTCACTTAATCTCTACCTACTTCCATTTTCTCAACTGTAAAATGAGGGTTATATCAGTAGCTACCTCTCAGGGTTGTTGTGAAGATCAAACAAGATATTTGCCAAGTGCTTAGCACAGTGCCTGGCACTTAATTAATCCTTCCTTTCTTCTTATAAATTCCTACCATCACCACTATTACTCTTCCTCATCTCATTTGCAGCAAGTCAAAGCTTCTTTCACTTGGTCTACATGCTTTCTGTACCATGTAGTAATTCCCTAACCCACTACTAGCATCACAGAGCTCTAAAGCCTCCTTGGTTCCCCTCTCTCGACCCATCTAAATCTTTCTACATTCATATCTCCAAACCAAGTTTTGTCTTTTGTTCTTTTGCCACACTTTAGTTAGAGAACACACCTCACCTTTGTGTTACCTAGCACCATCCCCAAACAGCCCACAAGAGTTTCACTTTTTTTTTTTTTGGGAGAATTGCCTAAGACAGACTTTTGTTACTTCTCTGCCTGCTAAATGAATTATCTGCTCAAGCTCCATAAAAAAGTTATGCACAGAATTTTATTGCTATAGTCTATAGTGAACACCCATTCCATCCATGGTGAGAAGCTGATTATCAGTTAAGTCTCACAACCCACCCAAAACTACAGGTATAAGGTTAAAAGAAATGAGATCAAATCTAAAGGAAATCACCTCACCACTGCCCCCCCCCAAAAAAGTCTGCTCTACCAAAGGTGCATTAATGTGCCTATTTTAACAACTTTGAAAGAGTTAAGAATACTGATCAATGCAATGGCCAAACACAATTCCAGAGTACCAAAGATAATGAGTGTCACCCTCTTTTGTTTTAGAGAATAAGACGTACATTTTTGGACAGAGTAATATAGGAATTTAATTCCTACCCCACCACCTCACCACCACCACGACCACCTCAATCCCCCACCCTTCAACCCCTAGCCCCCAGGCTGAAGAAAAAAAAAAAGTTGTTTCTCTGAAAGCAAAAGGAAAAAAAAAATAGAAAAGATGCACAATTAAAGAGGGAACAATGTAAGTTTATTCACCTGAAATCCTTTGTGATTAACCTCACAGAGATTTTCAAGCAAATACATTCTACTGAGGCAAAAAATAATGCTGTCCTTTATGCAAGAAAATGACTACGGAGGCATGTGCTTTAACTTGCTTGTCCAGGCATGGAAATGTTGCTCTGCCTTCCAATATCCTTTTGGCAAAGGGTACAGGGTTGAGTTGGCCACGGAATAGGGTAAGCTAAGTAACCTACATAGGGATCAACTTCATGGCCATGGTGGCCAACTAAACACCACCTCTAGAGAGCTAATATGATTTAAAAACAAACAGACTCACCCCCTTTCCTCCTGATTTCTGGTCAAAGGGCACCATGGTGATCCTTTTGGATTCCCGCTGGTATGTACAATAGTGCTTCACCCAAGAAGTGCCAAAGTGACCTACAACAGAACACCTTCTTGTAAATCTTGTACAGACCTAATAAATGCTGAAAACCACAAATTAACATTATGTTGTATTATATTTTTATTTATTTTATTAAGCATTTCCCAGTTATATTTCAATCTGGTTCCTGTCACCCATGGATGACTCCCCCTGCTGCTTTATTTACAGAAAAACATACATATTCACATTCACAAATATAACCCTCTGTTTCAGACTATAGAAGTTTCTCTGCCATAGAAATGAGACCAAATCAGGTAATTATTTCATCTCCACTCCAATGAATAGATAATATTCAATGTGGATACACCCTTAGGCAGCCAGATGGCACAGTAGATAAGAGTACTGGGCCTACAGTCAGAAAGACTTTAGTACAAATCCAGTCTCAGACACTTACTAGATATGTGACCCTGACCAAATCATTTCACCACTGCCTGCCTCAGTTTCTCCATCGGTAAAATGAGGATAAAAGCACCTACCTCACAAGGTAGATGTGAAGATGAAATGAAATATTTGTAAAGCACTCTATGCAAACCTTTAAAGTATTATATAAATGCTACCTGTTGTTACCATCACCATCATCACCATCATCTTCACTACCAACACCACTACTCCTACTCCTCCTCTTCCTCAAAGAATGGAAATCACAGCCCATCCATTCCTGCCCATATTGTATGACTCATGTCCATGTCCTCCCATAAAGCAAAAATCAGAAACACTTCCTGGTGTTCCTTAGGGATCAATATAAGATTTTTCCCTCCAAGTCATTAAACTGTGTTTTTTTTTAAGATCTAAAAGTACTAAGGTTTCCTTGGGGAATTCATTCATTCATTGGACATTTACTGAGCTTCAATGATGTGTCAGATGCTGTACTAGTACATTGCAAAATTATTAAATTAATTCACTTGGTTGCACATTATTCCAGTACTGATGTCTCCAGTTTTCATTCCCTGACCAAAGAGAAGATCGGGTGGGATAAGATTATGCAGCCACCCCCAGACTTTCCTCCCCTAGGTCTCCCTAACTTGGAGTGTGCCTCTTCCATTCTCTGCACAGCCTCTCTGCAGTTATTTTCTGTAGCAATAACTTAAGTTGTAACATTAGAGATGCTCCCTGGATCCTGACCCCAGATTTCTACTTCACCTGGACGTAAAGTAACTTTAAAGAGATAAGAAGAACAATCAAAGAGAACTCCTTGGCTATCAGCTACCTCTTTCTTCCAATCCTGATAAGCCCATTTCTTTCAAGATGCAGGAACCCTGGAAGGTCTCATGACCTGGGTCTCAACCTCTCGATTCTCAGCATTTTAACCCTCTTCTCTTCATACTACAAAGTAGTCTCCATGGACTTCTTACCCTCTGCAATCTGATCTTTAAAATCATTGGAAACTTGGAAGTTCTGAGAAATCTCACCCCCAACACCCCCCCCCCCCCAATCAATTGCCATGCATTCTTCTTTCTCACACAGCCACAACCTAAGCTTGGGCCTTCATAACTTTTGGCTTAAATAATGACAGTAGCCTCCCACCCGGTCTCCCTACCTCACTCCAATTTCTCCCCATTCCAGTCCATTCTCCACACAGCTATCAAAGCAATTTCCTAAACTGGGAGTGATGTCACCATTGCCCCCACATTGAACTCCAGTAGCTCTCTATAACCTCCAAGCACAAATATAAACTTCTATGTCTGGCACCTAAATCCTGCTGTCACAGCTTGGCCCTATCCATCTTTCCAGATGAATTACACATTATTCACCTTCACATACACTCTACAATCCAGTCAAACTGTCTTTCTTACTGTACCTCACACTGGAATAAAACTCTAGCTTAGGTGTGGCTTAAATTAGGTACCTAATTTGAGCATTACAATAACTGTAAAACAGGTTCTATAGTTATTATTACCCCAATTTCAGAGAAGAGGAAACTGAGGCACAGACAAATAAAGGGACTTAACCCGTGGCCATATACCTAGGAAATGTGAGAGGCAGAATTTGAACCAAGGTCTCACTTCATGTCGAGCAACCTATATAAGTATTTGCATGGGAATTCCTTTCAGTATGTCTTTGAACTCGTCAGGGTATGTATTCCCTCTATTAATACAGAACATAATCTATTGTGGACATAGACATGGAAGGGACATTAGCTTATCTAGTCCAATTCCTCCATTTTACAGATGACAAAAATGAGGCTCAGACAGGTGAAGTGATTTTGTCTGTCCAAGGCCACACAAATAGTCAGTGGAGACCCTCTGACTCAGTTCTTTACACTGTATTTTAGCTTTTTAGGCTAATGCCTTTTTCTCAAGTATTATCTCCTATTCCTCCTTATGTGCTATGTTTTACTTAATTTGGACTGTTTGCCAATTTCCAAAGTTAAAAAACAAAACAAAACTGGGCTGAAGTTCTAAGCTCTATCATTTACTGTAAGTATAGCTTTAGTAAATCATTTCCCCTCCCTTGGCCTCAGTTTCCCTGTTTGTAAATGAGACAGTTGGAAAATATGGTTGCTAAAGGCAGTTTTTGAAGATTTAACATTCTCAGTGATGTGACTCCCAATGGCTTTCCTCTTGACAGTCTCTATGCCCAGAAAGCCCTTCTCTACCAACATTCCCCATCTCATTAACAACCACTGAAATCCTACTCACTCTTTAAGGCACAGATCAATGCTGCCTCCTCCATGAAAACTGAAAATGATGCCTCAAGTCTAGAATTGAAATCTCCCAACTCTATAGCACCCCAAGTTTACAGATGCATCTGGGTGCTGCAGTGTAAAAATCACTATATTCTTTCTTAGGAAACCTGGGTTTGAATTCTGCCTCAAATATTAATTTAACTATGTGACCTTAGACAAATCAATTCATCCTTCTGAGGCTCAATTTCCCCACCTTCAAAATGCAGATAATAATTTTCCCCTAACTTAACTCTCAAGGCTAAACTGCAGTCAACAAAGTACTTTATGAGGCAGCCAGGTGGTTCAATAGATAAGGGTTGGACTTTGTATTGGGAAGACCAGAGTTCAAATGTTACTTCAGACACTTCCTAGCTGTCCGGCTCTAGGCAAGTCAATTAACCTTTGTGTGTATCAATGCCATCAGCTGTAAAATTAAGATTGTAATAGTACCTACCTCCTAGGGTTACTGTGAGGATGAGACATTTGTAAACTGCTTTGTAAGCCCTAAGCCTTAATAATAAAAAGTTCCAATAAAAGTGAATGATCATGTCTACTCCTAGGTTATAAGTCCTTGAGATGGGGGTCATGTCATTTATCTCTGAAAACACCTCAGTTACATTCCATATGCTGTCAGTAACTTACTAAGAAGTGACCAAACATTGACCTTCAAGCACCAATCCTCTCTGTCCTCCTACTGATACATTCAGAAGAGCTGCCTACACTCACTGCCTCCAATTCACCACCACCTAATTCTCAGTCTCTTGAAATCTGTTTTCCGACACCACTCTACTGAATCTACTCCCTGCACAAACTTCCTAATTGCTCAGCCTTGCACTTTTTTATCAGACTTCACCCTTCTTCAACTTTCTAACACAGTCAATCACTATCTTCTGGAGACCTGGATTTTTCTACTACACTATTCTCTTCTGTCTGATCACTCCTCCTCAGCTTACCTCACAACCCCTAAGTAGAGGTGTCCTATAAGGCTGTGCCCTGAACCGTCTTTTCTTCTCTTCTGAAATTCTCTTGGTGCATTATTCTCACCTCCACAAATATGTCTCCCACACCTAATTAGTCCCACATACCCAACTGCCTTCTGGATACCTCCACCTGGACATCCCATCAGCACTCTAAACATAACATATCCAGAATCAAACATCCTTTTTCCTCCTGAACCCACACTTCTCTTTTCTTCCCCAGCTCTTTTGTAGGCACTCTCATCTTCTCCAGTCACTTATTTTAACTTTAGTCATCCTTGACTACTCCCTCTCTCACCCACATATTCAATCATTTGCCAAATCTAGTCAATGCTAACTTTAGAACACCACTCAATCCTATTTCCTTCTCTCCATTTATACCACCCTTACCCTAGCTTTGCTCTGAAGTTGATCCTCTCCTTTCTAAACTATTTTCACCAGACCTGGAGTTAGGAAGACCTGATTTCAAATCTGGCCTCAGATATTTACTTACTAGCTGTGTGATCTTGGGCAAGTCATTTAATTTCTGTTTGCTTAAGAGGCAGCTAGATGGCTCAGTGAATACTGTGCTGAGTTTAGAGTCAGAAAGACCTGAATTCAAATCTGGCCTCACTTAACTAGCTGTGAGATCCTGGGAAAACCATAACTTCTGTTTGCTTTAATCCACTGGAGAAGGAAATGGCAAACCACTTCAGTATCTTTACTAAGAAAATCCCATGGACAGTATGGTCCACGGGGTCACAAAGAGTCTGACATGACTGAACAACAACAATTGAATAAGAACCAAATATTTGCTCTTCCTTCATAACACATTCCTGTCTGAGGGCACAACGTAAACAACGGACCCGTAACTAACCCTGGTCTCGGGCCTCCTTTGCCTGAATGCTTTTTTGAGCCTCTCATTCAAAATTCCCCCTTGGCAGCATCTTGGAACATCTTTCTGCCAAAGTGTCATTGGCAGATTCCCACTCTCCTCCAACACCCGCCATGTAGTGAAAATCACATACGTTTCTCCTGGACATAGAGATAGCCCTCCATGGTGTAAGGACTAATGGTCTTGTGTTCGTGAGGATTCTCCTTCATTTTTTTCATCAGTGACTCCACTTCTGACCTGGTACCTTCAAAGCGATTTCTTGTCTATAATGAAAAGCAATTTTACTTAAATCAGAAAAATTTAATCTTTGGTCCTGTTTCCCTTAATCTGTAAGTCAGCCTAATGATTAAGGGTGCTTGAATCTATGTTTGTTTTTAAAAGAAGGACAAGACTTCAAAGGTCCTAAGCTCTGTAAACTACCAGGTCCCCAAGACTTAGGAGAGAACAAAAATAAAAATTCAGGGTAAAAGCTACACAACTGAGAGTGGATTGGATTCCATTTATGGGCTTTCTTCCTAGAACCTTTTGGAGTTAAATTATTTTTCTCTTTATTGATTTGCTTAGCAAAGTGCCTGGCACACAGCAAGCACTTAATAAAAGCTTTAATGGGCTAGAATATAAAGATCACATGAGCAAAAAGAGAATAGTAATGCAACCATAACATGGGAAGGGTATACTAAAGCTTCATTTATTTAAGGCAAATGATCCTAATTAACAAATATGTCATGAAACTCTGAACTAGTAACCCACACCTGGGCAAATAACCCAAGGAGGTCAAACAAAGAAAAGTCCCATATACATCAAAAATTGGAAACAAAGTGGGAGGCCCATTGGCTAGGGTGAGGATTGGGCCAAAAGTGGTCTATGAATATAACTCCATACTACATTGCACGGTAAGAAATGACAGCTATGAAGAAATCAGAGAAACATGGAAAGCCATCTATGAACTATACAAACTGTTACAAGCAGGCCAGAAGAATAATATATGTGACTATAATTATGTAAATGAAATGATGAAAGGTAGTTGTAATCTGATTGATCACAATGACTAATCTCAATCCCAGAAAACAGAAATATACTCCTAGCTCTCAGTTGAGAGGGAGGAGAATACAGGTGCAGAAGGTCTCTTCTACTGTCAGGAGAAGCTGAAGTGTTGACTGGTTTTGCTTAACCAATTCACTGGCAAAACTAGGGGAGATGAGGGAAATGATCACACAAATGGGAAAGGTAAGCAGCACAGTGGATTGAGCACTGGGTCCAGAGTCAGGAAGACCCAAGTTCAAATCCAGCTTCAGACATTTACTAGCTGTGTCGCCCGGGGCAAACCACTTAACCTCAGTTTCCTTATCTGTAATACAAGGATAATAATAGCACCTACTTCCCAGAGTTATTGAGAGGATCAAATGATAAAATAATGGTAAGGAGCTTGGCACAGTGCCTGGCACCGTATATAATAGGTGCTATATAAATGTTAGCTATTAAATGACATGGAAATATTTTAAATAAAATAAGGGGAGGGAGGAGAAGAAACGCAAAAGCAAAATAATGAAAATAGGTCTAGTAATGAATTTCTGCAGACTTTACTAAGAATTAAAGGCCATGGGGAAGAGGCAAGAGCCCCTATCCTCATCACTATCCCTCAGAAGAGCAAGGTGATATGTAGCTACAGTAAAATGGAAGTGCTACTACTTGAAGAATTTCTGATGCCTTTTTGAGAGATCGAAAAAAAAACTGGCAGCAATACCTCCCCCAAAAATAAAAGTTAGCTGTGCTCTAAAAGAACGTCTAAGAGGCTGATGTCCTAAAGACGTCTGTCTCTCTGCTGCCCACAGAGAACAACTAAGACCCAGGCCAAACATAATCTGGATTCTGTTTTCAAGGCAGTAAATCTCAGGGCAGGACACATTTTTTTCTTTTCTCTTTCCTTTTTTCTTTTCTTGTTTTGTAATCAATTGTCTTTAATTGCCTCACTTTCTCCAAATACACTCACTGGAAGGCAAAGACACCATACAAGTTGCCCCTCCCATCCCAAGGCCTTGGTTCTGTGTCCACTCACATTCTGTATGCTGATGGTCAACTGTGTCTTGAAGTCACTGAAATCCTTGGCAAGTTCATAACCATGATGATAGAAGGTGAAGAGTCCCTGCAGAAAGGCCAGCAGCTGTAAGGGAGGGAAGGGAAAAGGGAGAAACAAGCAGGTTTAGAAAGGGAGAACATCTCCATGGAGCTGACTCAGTGGCAGCAGGAAATTCTAATAAGAAAATCACTGCCTTCTTAAATGGAATACCAAGATGAAAATCAAATTACTGTGCCAAAGAGCCCTTTTAACTTCGAGGAAAAAAGCGACACATCCATAAATGTCAGGAGAGGGAATGTTTTCAAACACCAAGAATGTTTAAAAACTAACCTTCAGTTTAAAAAAGGCTAGCTGCCTAGTCTTCTCTTAAAGTCACCAGAAAAAAATAAACAACTGCATAAGATCCTTTCATATTGTACTATAATGTTCTATAACCCTTCAGGAGAAATTTTTTTTCCCCCCACTAATATCTAACCTAAGTTCTCACTCACCTGCTGTAAGGAAATATAAGTGAAGTCTTGTCCTGCCCTCAGGGAATACACAGACAGCTAGGATTTTTCTGTTTTTTTAGCGCACAATTTTTAAAATATCCCTTCTGTGGAAAAAGGGAATCTACTAAGGAAGTAAGGAGGAAGAGGGGGAAAGAACTGGATAGCTCACTTAATCAGGGTATAGGAAATGAAGAGTAGACATAGAGGAAGGGGTGGAGGAATCAGGCATGAACCTCACTTTGAACCAAAGCAAAGGAGAGTTGAATTCTCATAGTCTAATGACAGGATTTTTAGCTGCTTTCTCTGAGAAATGTTTGTTATTCATTCTCTCTCATTTTCTTTGTCTCTGTCTCTCTCTCTTTTTCTCTCTCTCTGTCCCTGTCTGTCTGTCTCTCTGTCACACACACACACACACACACACACACACGTATGTTTGGCACCGAAATACATTAAACTAAATATGGAAACAGATAGGCAGAGGGGACAAGGAAGAGAAGGGTTTGAGAAGGAGGATAAAATCAGAAAGAGTTAAGTAATAAGCAAAGCACACTCTAACTAGAGAAGCTGGATCCTAAAACAAAAACGAAATGGAAGGCAAATACATAATTAAACCATAACCATGAATGTGAATGGCATGAACAAAATATCCCATCACAGATTGGAAACTGAATTCCCGCCAGCCTTGATTTCTCCAGGCTAAACAATGTTCCTTCAGACTTTCCAAACTTCTACTTTAAGTACTCTAGATTTTGCTTCAGAGTTACATGCCAAAAGGGAATATCATCTTATAATAAAAACCTAAACAAGACTAAGATGAAAGATTACATCAGGGACATCTCACATGATCATACTCTTCATTTAGATAAGAGATATGATTTTTTATTTTTTAAGTATATTGGATCACTAAATTGCATTTCACTTGTGGTCCACTATTACTTCCTGATCTCTCTCAACGGGATAGAGCTGTCTCACTGTGTATTATTGCAGTTACTTTCCCTTCCTTAAAAGACTGATGTATTTTAAAACCCACAACTAGTCAGCCTAGCACATTTTACATATGAGAAAAATGAGACCTACAGAAGTCAAATGACTTACCCAGGATGACACAGCTAGTAAATGATAAGGCACACATTTTTCTTAATGGGTTTTAGTCTCTGTGAATCCACCTAATTCTCTGACTATATACAGCAACCCTATAAAGTGTTTCATCATTTCTGATCCATTAAGTAAATGTACAAGTCCTTGAGTTCAAGGTCTCCGAAAACCTCAGTGCTTAGAATAGCCCCTGAGATGAGGCATGTGCTTAATAAATGCTTGGTGATTGATGAACAACAATGAATCATATGCTGCTGGTGGTGTTCAGGGATGTGGGACTAATCTATAGAAAACAAATTCTTTCAAGGAATCTAGGCATCTTGGTTAGTTTAGAAAGAGATGAATCACTTCGTACCATACCCCAACAGGGCCTCCTTAACCCCCATTTTCAAAACAGGAAAAAGAACTGTGTCTAAAAACTATAGGCCAATAAGCTTGACTCAAATGTACTACCTTCCATGTTCATGAACTCTGAGATTCCCTTATCTGATCACAATCTGCTGTCATTCCACTTCTCCCCCTGCCTTACAACCTCAAAGGCTATTTTTCATCTTCATTATGACCTCCAATTCCTCCACCCTGCCTCAGTTCTTTCCCAAGCCATCAACCCTTCACTGGCTGTACATGCCTCCCTTACCCATCTTGACCCCTTGGTGAACCATTTCAGCTCTATACACTATACTACACTCTAGTCCATTAGGCACCTTATTCAATCACCAATCTTACATTGCAAAGCCTCAGGCTTACTGAGGCTTACTTAATTACTCCCACCACCCTTTAGATGTGGTCCTACTTATAATGTTGCTGAATGAAGCTACAGAAAACCATGAAAGCAAGCTGACTGGATCCACTCTCAATTAATGCTACATAATCTCAAATAGGCCCCTCACTATTGTAATATAATCTTTTTATACCTCCCTAATTAACTCATCATGCCACTAATTAGTGGCTCTTTCAAACCTTTTCATCCCAGATGCCTTTTGCCACTATCTTCTCCTTTATCCCTATCTCACATAATGACATGGTCCTTCTCTTTTCCAAGGAAAACCCCTGTACTTGTACAAATGACCCCATTCCTTGCCATCTTCTCCAACAGATAAATCCCACTCCAACTACTCTTCAAACACGAGTCTGCTGACCAGGACTCATGCCCACAAACATGACTGTGTTTTGTCCATTCTCCTCCCCCCCAAAAAAAACAAACCTAACACTTAACCCATCAATCCCTGCTAGCTTTCATCCCACATCTCTTCTTCTCCCCTGTCACTAATGTCCATCAATGAGGTCAAGAATTCCCTAAAGTATAGATGCATTTGGTATGTTGACATTCTGCTTAATAAGTATATTAACATAAAATGAATTTTGTTCATTGAAAAAATATTAATTATTTTAATAACGAAATGTATTTTCTTCATCATCAATCATTCAAATAATTACTCCAAAACGAATAACAAAGGAAACTCAACTTACTTTTACAGAATAAGCATCAAGTACCTATTTCCAAAGGATGTGCTACATCCCAGGCACGTTCCTAGTCTACTCTGAATCTATTAGCCCACATAAGTGTTGCAATCTGTTGACACGACAAGACCCACATCCATGGAGAGACTTCTCAAAGCTAAGGCCTAGCCCCTCTCTACTCTATTTCTAATGATGCCTGAAAGGTAAAGGGAAGTGAAAGGAACAGAAACAGAAGGAGAGATAAACCCTACGTTTCTTCACCTTCATCATTCCCCTCATCCTAAGCTCATTAAATGATACTATATAAGTACAGAAGCCAAGACAATCAGAGTCACAGAAAATTCAGCTGGAGACACAGGTCAGTGATAACTCCTACAAAGGGAGAGTACCTACACTGAAATTCCTCTTAGTATGGAACAGACTAATTAAAGTGCAGCTGTCCAAAAGCAGCCCATTTATAGTATAATCTGAACAGTAGGTTTTCTTTCCTGCCTCCACCACCACCAAAAGAGTGCTGGTCTCACCCTTTTTCATTGTTCTAGGAAAGAAGTTAACAGTAGCCAACAGAAAAACACTAATGAGGAACTCTAATTAACAGAATCCTCTAGTCCACTGGAAGACAAGAGTAACCACAGAAAACTGTCTCCAGCTCTTAGCTGACATGTACATTTAATTGCTTCTGTCATCCTAAATTGGAAAAATCATTTGCATATTTTTCCTATCCATCTAGACCCCTCCAATGCCCAAGGTAGCATCCTACATTTCTTTTCCCTTTCACAGTCACACTTCTAGAGAAAGCTGTCGGTATTTATTAAGTACCTATTACATTCCTGGAATTGTGCTAAGTGCTAGATACAAAGACCAAGAAGAATAACAAAACAAACATAAACATGGATAACCCTGTGTATGGAGGGAGAGGGAAGAGAGGGAAGAGAGGGAGGAGAGGGAAGAGAGGGAAGAGAGGGAGGATAGGAAGAGGGAGAGAGAATGTGAGAGAGACAGAGAGAGAGGGGGGAGGGAGAGAGGGAGAGAAAGAGAGAGCGAGAGAGAAAGAGAGAGAATGAGAGTGAGAGTGTAAGGCAGTACAGGCTCAGCAGCACTTTGGGAGGAAATCAGCTGGGGGAGTGGGAAAGAAAGAGAGAATTTATTCTCCCCTCCTCCCCATTGGACATGAACTCTTATCAGTGACTTGCCCAGAAGGAAACACTCCATCCTGCAGTCACAGAGTTCATCAGTTGGTGAAGATTCCATGTTTCGAAATCTAGCCTTGATTACAGTCCATAGGTTTTCAATGGAATTTAAATCAGGTAAGTTCCTATGTCATTGAAGTACATGTATTTCCATCTCTTAGATAAAGTTCCTAACTTTTTCATTATGATTGCCTTCCCCCTTCAAAGTGCTATAAACGCCAAAATTTTATTTTCTTTCTCTCCTCTCACAAAACTCCCATTCTCAAGAGGATATTGGATTGAGTAAAGAAATTCACTGTCAAGTATGAATGATCAACAGGCCCAACCCTCTGGAGAGTATTTACATTTTAAAACAGGAGCAAATTAATTCAAGAGAATCTCTTGTTTACAAGAACCAGCGAGTCCCCTTCTCATATCTTCATCATGGATGCCTTTAAGTGGGTGAGTAGATAATTGTCATAAAGTTTTCTAGGAAATATCAAAGTAGATATATGAGTCAGTAGTTATGAATATTCCCTAGTTTGTCTTTTTTTTTGGTAGTAACAACGAATTCCATATTTTCCCCCAAGCATTTGGATATTTTTTCCTCTTTTAGTTATCTCAAGAATAAATCCCCCAATCCCCTTAAAATCAAGTCATCTCTCACATGGAGCTCCCCTATGTATAATTGTTCCAATCTGCTCTTCCTGTCCTTGTTGTCTTTTATGACCGTTTCTATTTCCTCAGGCTGTTTATCTATGGTTGTGATTTTAGATTCTGAATGTGCTGGATTCTTTATAATTGATGAAGAAAAGAGCTTGTCCTTGAAATGCTTAAACATCTTTTGAACTTTCCTGTTTTCAGTCTGCTTATTGTCTTCCTTTCCATTTTCACCCTTGGATTCCTTGATTGGGATCTAGATGATCGGGACTGGCTAGGTCTCTCACCAAGCTTCCTGTGAATTTGTTTTTCTCTCCACTGCCTCTCACTATTTTACAAGGCAAAACTGCTTCTAATCTTCCACCATCCTCCTCTATAAAATGTTACTGAAGAGTTTATATTCTAAACCGGTGTTGCCTTTGGCTGCCATATCCCTGCACTTGGCAAGGAGAGCAAGTGTTTGCTGGCTAAAGCTTCTCCCTGAAACAAAGAGCCATCTTTATAACATCAATATTCTTCCTGTGATGCCATATGACTGCAAGTGAAAGGATACTACAGTCTCCAAAGAATTAAGAGCTCTAGGTCATCCAGAGGACAATGGAGAAGCATATACAAATAGGCTGCAACACATAACCAATGAAGAATTATTCAGAATAAGCAATGTGAAGCATAGTATTAGAGAAAAGTATGCCTAGAAAAGGAGGTGGAGTGAGGTTACACCAGACAGAGAGCCAGTGTAACCTGTGCAATGCCAAGACATCTGGAGGAAGGTTCCTATACATTGGGTAGATGCCTTGTGGAAAGGACATAAATAAGAACCGTACATGACAAGATGAGGATAGGTCATAATTTATATAATTAGATATTTATGTTGATGTGATCAAAAGATCATCAAATTATGGAAATAACTCTAGTCATCATGCTCTAAGGTTCTACTTGACATATGAAATAATTGTGAATATGAATTCCAAATTGGCATGGCATAGTGAGAAAAGTCAGAAGACACTGATACCATTTGAACAAAGATACCAGCCTAGGGTCTGCACCAGAAATCCCATACTAGCCGGATGGTTGTACAATCTGTAGTGAGAAGGTACTGCAATGATACCTACAGGACACAGTGGGCAATAGTGGAATGGAATTTGAATAAGGGCACATCCAAATGAAATCACCAACACTAAAGAATTGTATAGGCTAAGGGTTGTTTTCCCCCCACGCTACATGGCTCATTCAAGCATACAACCATTATAAAATTCCTACTACATGCAAAATTCCACATAACCCAATGTCCAAACTGCCCAGTTCATGACAAATATGTTGCTAGGAATCACATTCCCCAGTTGAAGGATGATGAGAACTAGATTTTCTTATTCTCTTGAATTACTATGTGAAATAAGTGCTTTGAGAATTCACTCTAGGAAAGAGAAGGGAAGCTTCTATGTTTCACCCTTTTCTTCCTCCTACTTCTTCTGTCTCTTGGTGGTAGTGTATTGTTTTGTTGAACGAGTTGGAAGTATATGCTGGTTTTTTTAATAAAGGAAGAGCACGTTCACGGTTCAGAAAGGTGTGAGAGAAGTTGAGGGAGAATTGATACTTTGATGGCAAGAGAAGAGTCAATCACCTCAGCAATCCTCCATTAGGAATAGTGTTTATCTCACGCCAGGAGCAGAACAATATGGTGCACAATGTCATTCCAAGGGTCACCAACAGTCCAAGTTAATATAATTATCTGCTATGGAATACTGATTCACTATTACCTTAGCTAGGATGGGAAAATTGTGCCACTCCACTTCTTCCCCAAAAAATGTAAAGTCCTTTCCAAACCACTAATAGTCTCCATACACCCTTAAATATTCAGTATTTACTCACAGGCTCCACGAACTCAAACATCTTCCTTTCTTGGACTTCCTGCACCTTGAAGACATACTCAAGGGAGACTTCATAAAAATGCTGCCGGACCAGGTCTACCTGGCTGTCTGCCTACAAAGAGAGGATACGAGAGAAAATCAAAAATCACTACCCAATCCCATTTACCGGTGACGAAAGAAAAGGTAGCATCCCAGGCTCGGCGCTCAAATGAAGAGGTAAAAAGGCAGTCGACTGCTCACCCTCACAAAGAGATCCAAAAAGTTAGACTGGGTGAAGTGTTAGTTCTTAACCTAAGGTTTTATATCACACACACGCAC